GTCAGATAAAGAATGTTTCTTTCCATTCCTCCTTCCATCTCTGACCATTTTTTCCTGCTTCTTACATATGAGGGTCTCCATGACTCTTTTGTCTACTTGTATCTTGCTCAAGCCTGGAAAGCTATTGTTCATGTATCTCAGACCACTGCAAAAGTTGGTAATTTAGCCTCCAAACAACTGCTGGATTTGCCGCGATGCTAGTGATTCTATAGTTCTGCCCATCCCAAACTTCTCCCTGATTTTCAATGCATCAGTTTCTCTGGGGAAAATTTAGCCTTCTCTATTGTGTCAGAGTCCCTAGCCTTGGGGATCCATTTCTTTCTTTCTGGTTAACAACTCCAGATCCTGGGAGCTTTGTATCCAAAGAAAGGGACACAAGGCAAGGGCGTCAGAATAAATAAAACACCTTTGCAGTCTACAGACCCTTAAATTTTACTGGTCTGCATGGTTGTCACCTTTTAAAGTCCTGACCCACAGACTATGCTATGACCAACACCACTTGCTGTACCTGGATTGATACTTTGGGGAAGTTGAGACAAGCCAGTTGGCTTAAAGTGACTCCTTCAACAGGGCCTTTCTTGACCTACTTGATTTTGATTGGTTTGGGTCTTGGGGACCATGGGTCCAAAGTGCACTCCCAACATTGGGAATTATCCTGTTTATAATAATCATAGTAGTTCCCCCTGGTGCGTGTTCTCTCAAAAGCTTTAATGCATAGTCACAGCCACTAACCATCAAGCAAATGATCCCCCTAAGAACAGAATGTCAGAAAAGAAAGAAAGAGAAGGACCACCTGAAAGCATGTGAACCTGATGTCGTGACCAGCGAATGCCACAGAGAGACTGGGCAAAAAATCGAGAGATCTCCAGACTGGAAGCTAATGCCTCAAATTTTGATCACATCTTTCAGCTAGGCTGCAAGTACAATCAAAGGGGGGGAAATTAATAAAAACAAGACAGTGGTCCCAAATGGAATTGCTTACCACCAAACTGAGACTTAACTACAGTTTGGGCTTTCCCATAAGTGCAACCTTAAACCTGTCAATCAGGAATGGCCTGGTCAGCACTAGTGAGGTAACCCGCCTGACAGATCCTTACCATCCCCAAAGGAAAATGATTCTACAATACCCGACCTGCCTTTTCATCTCATACAGCTGCCTTGTTCCTGCTGCCTTCTGCCTATAAAAGTCTTTCATCTGGTACAGCTCCTCAGAGCTCCTTTCTTTTTTGCCCCATCACCATCTATCCCCTCATACCCTCTTCCACCTCCACTCCTGATTACCACACTGTTATCCCTCCCTGTCCATGAGTTCTTTCTTTTTTTTTTTTTTGCTCAATCCCCCTAGTCCCCCTCACCAGAGCTGTCTGCCTGCTATCTATCTATGAGTTTGTTTCTACTTTGCTTGTTAGTTCAGTTTGTTCATTAGATTCCACACATCTCCTTTCTATCTGCTAGGTTGAATGCTATCTGATTCATGAACCAGTAAGTAAAGCAAATAAGTCTTTTAAATTTGCTCAGTCAAATTTTGTTTCACACCATCTTCCTCTTAAAGGCTAAGCCCCTGTTTCCTAATCCCTCATCTGCCAACTCAGGGGACTCACAGTAAAAACTGTTCTGTGTCTCTCTCCTAATTTGCTCAGGATCTTGTCCTGCCCTACTCTTCAGGCTAAAGTCCAGCTCTTTCTCTACAGCAAACAAGACTCTCTGCTGTTTCCCAAACACCCTGCTTGTTTCTGCATCTGTGTTTTTGCCCTTGGAAAAGCCTCTAGGCCTCCACCTAAAGTCTCAGATCACTTTATACATAAATGCTGCACGTTTCTTACTCCCCTTGTATAGAAAATCCTGATAGGTTTTCAAATTGTTGATTTGAACTTAAACTCTTAGAACTCTGGTCTCTAGCATGGTTCCTAGAATATAGTGATGGTTCAATTTTTTTCAATGAATAAATTTATCCACTTCTGAACAGTATCCTCATCTTTTTTGTTAACCCTTGAAATGCTACTTAATTTCAATGTCTCATCTCCGAGTTAGATTCTGCTGGCCCAAGGACAGGACCCAGACCAGGTGCTACTGTTTTGATGCCCACTGTAGCAGTACATTTGATTCGCCCAAGGATCTTGTTTAAAATACAGATTCAAATTGTAGGCCCAGGAGTTTAGCTTTCTAACCAGCTCCAAGATGATGGAGATGCTATTCTATGGACCACATTTGGGAAAGCAGAACACTACAGCATTTGGTAGACTACACACTGCCACTTAAGAATGCTGGGAGGATAGCATAGGAGATTTTCCAATGCTTCTGCTAACTAAGTCTGCCCTTTGTGCTTTGAAACTTAAATTGCATGATGCTGTTCTTTCCATGGACAGAGGTTACTAAACCAGTAAAAGTGTCTACAAGAATCTGCATGTACATAGAGCCTGGGAAGGTCTAAAACACACTCTGGGGTCTTTTCTGGGAAGTCACATAAGAACACCTAACATCTGATATAAAAATATACATATAAACATATAGTTCCACATGTATCTAGAAATCAACATAAAACAATGGCTTCCACACCATGCAGATGTTTCCTTCTGGGGATTATGATATGGGCAAGGGCAACACATATGCAACACATCTGAGATCACACACTCCAAAGCAGTGAAGGGGGAAAGGGCTGTAAGAACAAAACATTCCCTTACAATACCTCTACTCATCAGTACTTTGGTGAGTTGGAGACTCAGACCCGTCCATAATGGGCGAGTGTTCTGTTGCTTCTCTGAACAAAGGAAAGCAGAGGAGGAAGAGAAGAGAGGTCATGTTAAAGAGAGGAACCGACACAGACATGATTTGTAGCTCATTGATACATTGGAAAGAATGGTTGACTACACGCCCAGTGTTAGTGACAAATAAGTCACACAGAACTTTCAACCCCCATGAGCGAGTCAAAAGACCTCTCTATAGTTTTGGTAGAAAGGCAGGCTTTGGCACTTTTTACCCATTTCTCATTTTCTTGTCACATCACAGAAAATAGTTATTAATGATAATTCAACTCAATCTGATGAAAGCGTTTACTTCAAGAACCAAAATACCTTTTTGTTTCAAATTTGTCTTGAGTCCTCACTAGCTATGTGCAGTGAAACCCAGGAAATGAGAAACTGAATAGAGCTAGATAAAGAGACCCTTGACTTTTTTAACCAGCTCATTGTGTGTGCATCTGAGGGGTGCTTATAAATTTCAGAGCTGCTGTCACTTAAATAAATACATTTGGGTCAGGTAAAATTGGATATGATGGAGAAAATCTGGGGATCCAGAGAAAGAGCCTGGAATCTGAAATTCCTTATTTAGGTGAGATGATTTACCAGTGGAGGTACCATAGATACAGAAGATGTCATTTTCTTATGAATTAATCTTGGAGAGACTCCAGGGTCCTAGGCCTAGCAGCTGCCAGACCACACAAGCTAGAGCTGGAGTGTGGATGGTGAATGTTTTCATGATCTGTAATAATGACAGAGGGGAAGTTGCTGCTCCAAAGACGGACCAAGAAGTGGGAGTGGATACAAGAAATTTGAGTGGGCATCAGAATCCCCGCTGGAGGCTTTGTTAAAACACAGACTTCCAGACCCCCTCCCTCCCCCCCAGATTTTTTGACTCAGTAGGCCATGGGTGGGCCTGAGAACCCGCACTTCTAACAAGATCCCAGGCGACAGTCATGCTGCTGGTCTGGGGACTGCACTTTAAGGACCACTGGCCTAATGGAAAGAGACAGGGCTTATGGCTCACAGAGCACAGGGCTGGAGTGTCAGCTCCAACCAGCCATTGTGACTTTGGGCAAAGCACTTATTTTCTCTTAGCCTCATCTATAAAATGAAAAGATGTGATGCTTCCCGAGTGAGGCTGCAGTGAGAATTATATGAGTTCATATATGTTAGAAGAAGCTTCCAACCTTTGAGTAAGTACAAAGCAAGCACTTAATAAACATTAGCTCTCCTACCTTCTGTTAAATGCTAAGGACCCATAAAGCCTGGTTTTAAATTACTACAGATAAATTTGCAGGAACAAAAATGGCTGCCAAGCATGAGAGTCAGAAATGTGGTCAGTGGAGCCGATTCTGGTCCTGTTGTTTCCTGATGATTCAACTCACAGACAGCTGTCAGATTTTCCCAGACACCCCCACAGATGCTCTAGGAAATGAGAAACTGAATAGAGCTAGATAAAGAGACCCTTTAGTTTTTTAACCAACAGACATTGATAGTATATAACATCCGTTTAGTGGTGATGTCTTAGGAGCAACAGAAGAGGCAGGAACTGTGAGCATAGCAATCTATGTGTACCCCTCAGACTCTGCAGCAGATCAGAACAGATCCCTGAGATTATGATGTCGGTCTATGCTGGAAGCTATAAGGAGAGCTGAATTTTGGGTTATTTTGCTATGGGCCACTTCTTAAAGGTCTCAAGGTACCTGATGCCCTTTGTGTGTTGATTAAGTGGTTGGCCAGGACAGAGATGGGATCTGAGCCTCCTGTCTTTTTCTTAAGATGCATCCTGATACCAAGACAGTGAGCATCCTGAGAAGCAGGTAAAACATGGGACCAGAGGCAGCCTAGGGTGCTCACACCGGTCTCTTTCTCCCCTTCCTCCTTGGTGCCTGGCATTCTGAAGTTGTCCTGGTATAACCGGAACTTAAGTCACATGCTGTCTGGAATTCTGACCAAAGCAGTGCAGTTGGACTTGTGACATTCCCCACATCCCTGGGGCCATGGGCCAGCTTTACAAGGGAGTAGAGATAATTCCCCATCTAAAGGACAGCGATGGAAAGGAGAGGGGTAGAAGGAACAGCAGTTCATGGGCCTTCTCTGGAAAGGAAGCAGGTTCCTAGTAATGAAGAACACTCATCATTATTTTCCTGATAAACCCTCTGTTACTAGATTCTCATATTCATTATACTCTTCCTGATGAGGAAGGCTGAGGATCATTCTAGAACCTGGAAGAGGAGGATGAAAGGTCTGATAGGAACTCACCCAGTCTGCCAGGTTAGGATGTGGTGGGGACTGCTTGGGGGCGTTGCTCCAATTTCACTCGATGGCGTCGAGCTTCTCTGGCTTTGAGGTAAGGCAGCTGTATGCAGGTGGTGCAGAAAAGACGCGTCAGACACCAGTCAAGAGAAGCAGCTTCCTTCCAGAGATGCTGGATGTGACCTCTTGCAGGGTCACAGTGGGCAAATAGCCACCCCCTACACCATTCATCTCCTCCAAACCATGCAGCAGCTTCATCCTCAGTTAAGTTGACCTGGGATCCTAGGTCCCCGCTTTGCCACTGGAAAGTGGCCACAGGAATGGCGGCAGCCCCCACAGTAGCAAAGAACCTGACAGCCCACGGACCTTTGAGCGAGTGCTGAGCAGGGCTAGTGCAGAAGGGCCTATTTCTCTGGACATAGGAAGCGACACCTCATGGCATTTGTAGATGTGGCCTCAGTGTCAAAACTGTGCCTTTGTCTTGAACAGAGAACTTCCAGAAAGGTTCTCAGAGCTTGCTGCCTGCCATTTCAGGCTTATAATCTACCCCTTTGGACACTTCAAAGGGTGCTGGGCCTATAATAGCTCATCCAAATCTGACTACTAGGAGTTTACTGACATGGACAGAGTTTTTCCAGTTGGTAAAGTTTAGTAAGAAGTAAATTCTCCTTAAATGCATCCATTGCTTTCTTGGGAATGGAATATTTTTCATCAGGAAACCTCAGATATACTTCTTAACATTTCAGTCTAAAACATGCTCCAAAAGATTTTACCTAATCTTTCTAAATAAAGCACGTCTACTAGACAAGTGCTAATGCTTTGATGGAACATAAGCCCTCCCGGCCCTCTTCGGAGCTGCTGCTTCCAGTAGGGCAACAGGCTCAGCATGTCCATTCATTCACTCTCATGGTGCTCCGGGAAGCTGATGGCAGACTTCACTGGGCTTATTTTACAGATGGAGGAATATGGAGATGGTTCTGGGGTTTTGAAGTCCATGGTTCTCTCATGATTGCCTGAAGCATTTTTATTATTATCTCTGGAGCTTGTCATCAGACTGATGCACCATAATAAATGAGCCAACGGGGATATGAGGACAGAACCAAGGAGCCCTGTGGCCTGGCACACCTGGGAAGCCGGCAGGTCCTTCCTCTTCACCCTGCTCTCTCTAGGCCCCCAGAATCTCCTTCAGCTCCCCAAAGATGACCTGCTATTTTCTGTCTTTAGAATCACCCCTTTCCCCTAATCTTCACCCTCTTTCTAGGCACAAGTCCAGACTTGCAGTCCCTTCCATTTGCTATTGATTCTCATTTCATTCTACTTTTAAAATCATTTTTATTACATGTCAACATCCTCCTCCTTTCTTTTCCTACAGGCAGCATCTTGCCACTGCATGAGTTCTCCTCTCCTTATGAATGCCATGAGCATGGAAATGATTTGGTCCATGCTGGACCCACCGCCCTGCCAGCACCGGTACTGGTACTGAACAAGTGTTGTTATGACTGCCAGGATTCTCTCAGAGAAGGGTGTGTGACTTCTTAAGGGAAAGCATGGTTTCTTCCCTTTGTTACTTAATTCCTCCTGCTCTGAGTACAAAGATAAGGTAACCCTTAATTTGATTATGAAACTCTGAAAGCTCTTTACAAAAATGACTGTGGTTATATCCTAACTCTATTGAAATGGGAGTGCAAGGAGCAGCTACCAAGTGGTCACAGTGAAGTCCAGTCATAGGTCACAGTGAAGTCAGGTGCCGCACTCCAGGCTCCATCAGCCTGCCCCACCGGGGGACACACCTGCCGAGTTTCAAGGCTCCCACAAGCCAAGGCCCTAAGCAAGCCACGCTCTGCAAGGTGCCACCCAGGTCTTTACCTTACCTGTGTCTTAGGTAAACCCCGAGACACCTAACTTCTTTGATTTCTGTCCTCACCAGGAGAAGTGGCTGGAGGGATGGTTTGATGCCTACTGAGGAAGCTGAAGTAGGAGTTGGCCCAATCCCAGGTTGCAGAGCCCCCAACCCTCCACTGGGCTCACAGAGGATCAGATGTGCTGTCCCACCCCCTCCGAAGTCTGTCACTCTTGGCAAAACCAGGCCCAGTATGGGAGGGGTAAAGGGGTGATTGAAAAACCTCAAGTCTCATACATCTCACAGCTAGGTTTCTGGAATCAACCATCTCTCATTCCTCACCGCAGACTCTAAGAAATTCTGGAAGCCCTTGAAAAGAGTCAACAATTTGCTCATTCAGGGCCAACCCCATTCTGTCCCCATTCTCACCTGACGTGGCCTTGCACATCTGGGGCATCCTGGTGACTCTGCTGTGGGCCAGGAAGGTGCTCTGGGAGGAGGTGCTATACTGGGAGCCACTGTCAGAGGAGGTGGAGCTGGTGTGCGACAGGCGGCTGTGCTCCTTGTGCGAGGCGGTGGAGCGCTGGTACCACTGGCGCAACTCATCGGACACTGCAGTGCGCCCCGTGCCCTTGTCATGGGCGCACTCGCGGCCCAGCGAGGGAGTTCCCAGGATCTGCGAGCGTGATGGCGTCAGGCGGCCGGCGTCGCCCTCCTCACTGGCCCTCCAGCTCTCCCGGAACAGGCCGCCCGCTGTGTAGGAATTGGAGGTCTTGAACTGCGCCTTGACACTGTAGTGGCCCTCCTGGTCGCTCTCCAGGCTGCGCACAACCACGGGTGTGGCGCCCCCCTCAATGTACAGCGGGTACTCCTTGATGCGGTACTGCGAGCTGGGTTGGCTCTGGCTGTGCAGGTAGACACCAGGTGCGTTCCCGCCGCCCCCCCTCGCGGCCAGGTTGGGCATGCTGCCCGAGTTCGCTGTGCCCAGCGAGCCCGCCGCCCGCTGTCTCTGCCGCTGCCTGGCACGCGCCTTGGAGGGCGAGTCCTCCGCCAGGGTGGAGTAGTTGGCATTCATCTGCGCTGGGTAATAGTGCTCCGAGCTTGAGTGGCTGGTGCAGGATGAGCAGTCGTCCATGGGGTCTGAGCCATTGCTGCTACGAGTCCTCGGGGTGTAGAAGTCGGGGCTCCCTGTGTCATTCTCAGAGCCCAGGAGCTTGCCCTGGGACTCCAGGCTGGAGCTGCGGTGCCGAAAGTGCAGGGCGAGGCTGTGCAGGCGCGTGGGGCTGAGGTCCACGGACCTGCAGGGAGACGATGGGTGGTGGGTCTGTGAGCCCAGTGGAGGGTTGGGGGCTCTGCAACCTGGGACTCAGGAGAGAGGCTCCAGCAGCTGGGAAACTGAGCTGTGCTGCCCTGGGAATCCAGGTGCTTCCCATGGTTCTCAGGTGAAAAGGAGGCGGGAGAGCAAGGCTGACCCCTGGAGTCAAGCCTAGCCTCTGCTGGGATTTTGATTCCCAGTGGGAGGTAAGACTGAAGACAGCGCCCACATAAGGGTTCCCTCTGAAAAAAGTGTGCCAACAACCAGGGCTTTTTTTTTTTTTTTTTTTTTTTTTTAAGTGGAAAGGAATTCTATAGATACAAAGAGAACCAAAGAAAATGCCTATTCCAGTATTATGTTAAACCAAATGAAATGCCCATTTTTGCAGGTCAAAACAGGCCCTATGGAGACATTTCATATGGTTCAACCAAAGATAATGAAACCCACATACACAGATTTCCATTTCTATGAAGACTCTGAAAGGCAAGGTTGGTGGAACATGGAAAATGACTGATGCAAAAACATACCATGCCACCATTCTGTTTATAACGCATTCTGCTTATCGAAATCCATCCTACAAATATCCATCAATATGGCAGACAATGCTAGGGCCACATGAGAAGTTCAGGGTGGTCCTGTTGGCCAATTACACGAAGATATGAGTTCAGTTCTGACTGTCACCCAGGGGAGAATGAGAAGTTCCCATCATGTGGCCCCCTCATCCCACACCATTCCGTCACTCTCTTCCAGCCATACTGGCCTCCTGGGAACATGCCGAGTTCAGCCCTGTGTGCAGGGCTTTAACCTCCTGTTCTCTACCGTATCCTCAGAGCTTGCTCCCCCCTCCCCCATCCATTCAGGTCTCTGCTCAAAGTTCACCTTGTGAGAGAGAGATTCTCCATGCTTCTAGTTCACTCTAGCCCCTTGCTTGGCTCATTTTTCCTCTTAGTGCTATCACCACTTGACAGATATTTATTATGACACCTAACTGAAATGTAAGTCTGATGAGAGCAAGGGTGTGGTCTGCTTTTCTCACTGCTCTGACCCCTAGAATCATACCTGCTACACGGAGGCACTTTATAAATATGTGGTGCATGAGCAAATAAAGGCATGAATAAAATGAAGGAGAAAAATCTTGCCTGGAGTGCTCTACCTGCTATAAAATGGTTTACCATTTATGGGCGCTCACACCTTCTGTCCTTTGAGGTATGATCCCTACAGACTCAGTTTTTGATAAAATGGAATGGTGGCTTTGGTTTTGCTTCTTTTTAGAAAATGAAGGCCTGATTCATTGGAGCCTCCCTTTTTTGCCCATTCCTTTTGTTCTCTAATGAATTTATACCTTGAGGCATTAAAAAGTCCGGGATAAATTAGGCCCCAGTAGAAAACAACAGGAGGACTTTCCAGTAAAGATCACCTCATCAGGGCAAGGTGGTGTGGCTCCAGCATGCTTCCCTGATAACCTGCTGGTCTTTCCTGCCTGTATCTTGCTTAGGCTCCTTCCATGCGCACTGTCTGCCTGCGATTCTCCAGCTGCCTCCCGGTCCCACTAGGCATGGGCAGTGGGATATGATGGGTCTCTGCAAACGTGGGCAGACTGCTGCCAGCTCAGTTTTAAATCCTGCTTCATTTCAAGGAGAAACGACCTCCCTAGTTCAGGCGTGACTCTAGATCACCCATTATCTGGGCCAGCTGGAGCCAGAGATGTCCAATTTACAAAGGAAGTGGCCCGAGGGCCGGGTGGACTCACCTCGTGGAATGAACGTAGTGGGGACTCCGTACACGCAGGTCTGGTGTGGACGGCATGCTGGACTGTGAGTTCCAGTGCGGGAGGCTGCGGATGGGGCTGTTCTGGAGGGAGCTGCTTCCCCCTCCTGCTTCAGCACAGCTCCCTGTGCTGGGGAAACGCTTGTGGCTGCTGCAAACCAGAGGAAGCCGTGCTGGTCACCGCCACAGTGCCGCACCTGTGCCCAGGAGCTGACTAGCCTCCAGACATCAACCTTGGTGTTGGGTGGGCTTACTCAGGATTCCCACCCCCACTCCCTCCGATCTCCGAGCCTTTCCCTGAGAATCCTTATCCCCGGCCCCTGGGTCCTGGTCAGCCTTCACGGGGACAGGGAGCATGACTGTCTGTAAAGCCACTGTCCTGAACTGCAGCTTCTATTTTCCAACAAACATTTACTTGTCTGAACAACCACTTGGAGCTTAAATGGTGTAATGAAAGGAAATGAGAAAACCAGAGAAACCGACCAAAAATGCCTCTCCAAAACCCTCTCTCCAAGATCAGCCCAGTAATGAGCTGATAATGCACAGCTAACTCTGTAGAGTTCGGCTCCAGAATCCTGCTGGCTGATGGCTTAGGGTTCTGAACCACTTGGGGATTCCTACGAGAAGGCTGTCACTTGCCATTTTGGAATAGTACTGCCCAAGACTTCCTAATTAATTTCCGTGGAATTTAACAACATTAAAGCCATCTGCCAACACGTTGGCTGTGAGCCAAAACCTCCACTTTCCCTTGGAATGACAAACCTGCACCTGGACAGGTCAGCATCCCTGTTGAAAGTCAACCCCTGGAAGGAGTTAGGTTGCTTTGGATTTTGTAATTTGTGGATGCCATTTGGGACAGCCCACCGATGCTTTCAATAGCTGTTGACCATGCCTCCTGTGGCCTTCCCCACCCAGCTCACCTGGAATGACTGTGGGAGGAACGTTTCTTGACCTTCTCATACGGCTCATCTAGCGAGGACTCACTCCACATTTTGGGCTTTAAGGGTGACTTGTCATAGTCGTTGCGGTGATAGTGCATCTGCCTGAGTCCCTCCAGGGACTGGGGAGGAGGGGGCCTGTTATGTGATGATGGTGGCCGAGGAGGAAGTCCCTTGTGAGGGGACTGTAAGGGGGACAGTGTGCTGGAGACCTGAGAGTCTTCTGCGCAAAAATGGAGAGAGAGCAACTGAGCAAGGGTCGTCCTTCCTAGTGACCCCAGACAGGCCCCCACCCACCTCTGCCCCAATAGCAACACCTGGGAGCCAGGCCAGCATTTACTCTTGAAGGCGCCCATGACGCTTCCCCAGTTGCCAAACAAGTCAATCCAGAATAAACCAAACCTAAACTTTGAGCAGCATTAAATGGGAAGAGAAGGCTCAGTTTTGATGAGCTACAAATGGAATAAACCCAAATTTTATTAAATCCCATGGCTTAACGCTTGCTTCACACCAAACAGCAAAATGTCCTCATCGTTGGACGTTTTCTTTCAATAGACAGGACGTACGTCATTTGCTTTGGGGGATTTCAGCTCCATGGGGGTTTTGTCTAGTCTATTAACTGCTATATCCTTAGTGTCTACAACAATTATTGACATGTAGTAGGTGCTCAATAAATCATTTGTTAGAAAAAATGAATAAAAGCATATCTGTTCAGATTAAGGATCTACTCGTGGCTCTAGGTAAGAACTCTGCTTTTTCCAGAACTGTGTATATTGTTTTTAACATGTTCCCATATAATATTTTCATTTTGGAACTGCCTTAGATTCTTTGGGAAGGAGATGGGCTACAACTATTATAAATAAAGACCATGCCCTGCCCTCAGGGGAGTAACGCTCTAACATCAATGGCCGTAGGACTTTCGGAGGAAATGAATTCAGTTAGTCAGGCAAAGAGCTGTGGTCCGGAAGGGATTTCAGCAGTGGCCTGGCAGAGAGGAAAAGGAAAGGAAGAAGCCAGGACCCGATGCAGCTGGCACAGCAGCTGGTGAGGAGGATCAGAGGGTGACAGGGAGGAGCTCTGGTCAAGTGCAAGTGTAACAGACCTTCTGTGGGCACCGAGATAAGCAAGGTGCCCTACTGACAGGGGCCTTTCATTCCAGATTCAGGCGTCAGGATTAGGTCTGAAAGCCACAGGAAAACTAAGCATGGATGTTAGGATGAAAGTCCCGTTTAGTCATCTGGCAGGGGTCGCAAAAGGGTAGGATCCAGGGAGGGCTGGGGAGGGGTTAAGGAAGATATACAGTGGTGAGAGCCCCCGGGACAGCAGCACTGAGCAGAGAGAGGCAGGAAAAAATCAGTGAGCCTTGTGGAGGCCGAGGTGGGAGTTTGAGGGGAACAATACCCAGAAGAAACCTCAAACCCCAATAACCATTCATGTGATCCTAAATCCACTTCCAAAGAGTGTTCTTTTCACAGCCCACTTCTCAGCCCCAAGTCCTGGGCATGTGCTATGCCTCCCCTGCTCCTGCACATCTCAGATCAGTAAAGGGAAGAGCCCCTAGATGGCGTAAGCCTGCACTAGGGGGGCAGTGACACCCCCAGGTAGTCTGGGGGTCTGCAACATGGGGAAGAAGCTAATCATAAATGATGCATCAGAATTAGCCAATGACAATATATAATGCCCCCAACTCCTCGGTTACAAAGGAATCTCATGAAATTGTTCTCATTTCCTCCCCCCGGAGAGACTGGAGTCCACAGAGGCCAAAACCAGGGCTGGATCTCTGATCTTCAAAACACAGCTCCCTGCTCCCCTACAGCCCCATTTCCTCCCCACCCACATAATCAAGTGACCGTAAGAATATTGCAATGTGATTGATAATAGCAGGGCCAAGACGACTGGGTAAATAACCCGCCAGCCTTTCCCCACATTAACAGCGATTATTATTATTGCGATTATCTGCATTAGTCTGACCTGGGTAGACCTTTTATGTTTTCCATCTAAATAGCTACGTATCACTGCCCACCTGAGTTTCCCCTAAGGGGTAAAAAATTAACTGCCACTTAATATATCTCCATTTCATTAATGTCCTGGCCTCACAAGTTTGGGGTTAAATCCGTAGGAACGTGCTCAGAGATGGTTCTGGGTTGGATTTCTTTCCTATTCTATGTCAGGTGTGGACTGGGGATCCGGGTTGGGGTCATTTCTGTTTTTCCTGCTTCCTCCAGGCTCTCCTATCAGTTTTCAATCTTTTATTTGTGATCCAAACCAATGTCTGCCTCTTTTGTCCAGGAATTATGAATGCACTAAAGGAGACTATGTGTGGTGTAGAGATTCTCTGTTTAGGTAAAAATGTGGTTTGGCAACTAATAAAGTACGACTCATTGACTATCACCTTAAATCTGACCTTCAGGCACAGAAAACACTACAATTCCAATAGACATGGTTTACGCAGCGCCCAGCAACTCCTAACCAACTCAGTGACTATTGGGCAGTGAGAGAATTGCAGGGTAGCTGGGGCCATCCTGGCCCAGCTCTCACCGTTACACTGGCCTGTCCCAGGCTACACATAGTTTAACCCAGTTTAAACCAAACCCCTTCCCAGTCTCTGCAACCACCTACCATCCTCCAGAACAAGGGCATCGGAGAGGGAACTGTCTTCACTGCCAATATTTCCATCTGAGAAGACAAAGGCAAAAGTCTGAGAGTTTATCACATTCTTTAGACAAAGGCCTATCTGTAAAAATCCTGTGTTTAGCATGTCCTTCTCTTTCTACTCAGAGAGAATCCATGGAATACAACCCAAATGCTGCCGGGCATTTCTACGACAGCCCCGGCCGCGGCTCATGAGCTCACCCCCATCCCCGACACTCAATGTGCCCATCTTTGTGCTCTTGTTAGACAGGGCACCGCCATGCTGAGTGGCTTTATATCCAACAGGCTGCCTGGCCGGGTTACGTCATACCATGGTCTTGGCTCAGTCCCAGGGCATGTTCTGACTGACCTAAAGGAGGTGAACTGCTATTGATTGTACAAATGTGAAACTAGGGTGAGGAGCTTGGCTTTGCTCACAGGACAACAAACGGCTTCTCAATAAATGTCTTAAGCCATTAGTGGTGGTGGTGGTGGTGGAGCTGCAAAATTCAGCTTCTATCTCTACAAAGCTTATTTTCATAGACCCCATTCAATTAACCATGAGAACATGCAAGGGAGACAGCAAGGTAATCCTCCCCGTTAAACATCTGGGGAAACTGAGGCACAGCTAGGGAGCTGGTTTGTTTGGGATTGCTCAACTCTCCTGGCAACAGGTCTTTGGATACCAAGTTTAGTGTTTTTCTTTTGAAATAAAAAAAAAAAAATCATGCTGCCTGGCCAGTGTTGCTCAGTGGTTAAGAGTGGACCTATGAACCGGATTATAGTGATTCCCGGTCAGGGCACATGTCCAGGTTGTGGGATTGCTCCCCGGGTGGGGCATGCAGGAGGCAGCTGATCAATGATTCTCTTTCATCACTGATGTTTCTATCTCCTTCTCCTTTTCTCTTCCTCTCTGAAATTAAAAAATATATATATCTTTAAAAATAAACAGGCTAAGGAACTAGGAAGAATCTGAATTCCTTCTCTAATTCAAATGGGCTCGTATGATGCAAACATTATTTGAAAGAGGTAGCAAAATAGAGAAGACATATTCTTGAGTAGGAGTGTCCCTGTGTGCACCAAAGGCTTGCAGGTTTGATTCCCAGTCAGGGTACACACCTAGGTTGCTGGTTCGACCCCCAGTCGGGGCGTGTATGGAAGGCAACTGATTGATGTTCGCTCTCACATCGATGTTTCTCTCTCCCTTCCTCTGTCTAAACATACCCCAGGTGAGGATTAAAAAGAAATGGCTGCAGGCTTGGATGGGTCCCGTCACCAGTTAGTACAGATGATGTCAAAATGCACTATGTCAGCATTCCTAACAGAATAGCCCTCACTGGTTAAGTAGATTGCTTAGGGCATGCCAGGAGCTGGGCACTGGCCCACTCTCAGGCCTGGCGCCCGCTCCCAGGGCAGTGAGGGCAGCTGCTGTGGGGAGGGCTCAGCACTGACCATCAATGATGAGCGAGGCCCTCTGGGTGGGTTTCTTCCCAGACTTGATGCGGTTCTCGTTGATGGCATTCTCAATCTCCTGCAGCTTTTTCAGGGCATTCAGATAGGAGGTTTTCCTTTGTTTCTTCAGTTTTTTGCTGACATTGGGGTCGCTGGCGAGGCGGCGGGCAGCCTCCGTAATCTGGGATTGAATGGCAAACTCTCGTTCCAGGCGTTCCAGCTCGGCTTCCTGTGGGAGGGAGAGCCAGGGTTTCACCTCTGTCCTTTCCGCCCACGCCCCCCAAGGCAAGCCAGCCTTCCTTACTCCTGGGGACCAGGGCACTAGGCGCCCAGCAGACCCACTGCCTAATGCAGTGATCCTGCTCCTAAAACCTCTGACAGCCGGTGCGCTGGGCACACACACTTTTGAGACCATGGCCCTTGTTCCACTCTGGAGACAAGGTTGTCTGCACATGGGAGCATCATTGAGAAGCAAGGAGTCCTAATGCTGAGGGCCTGGGGCCTCCTGGCTTCACTCCATGGTCTCCACATGGTTCAGGAAGAGCAAGCCTTCATGGAAATTCAGACCCGTTCGGTTTGAATGGGCACAGGATGCAACACTATTTTCAGAGCAGCTTTCTGTCCTGCTCTGCAGGCCTGCTGATGGGGGCTCCACTGTGCCCCTCTCCCCCACCTTCCCCACACCCCTCTGTCTCTCAGATTTTGAGCCTTCTGTGCTGGAGCCTGGAAATGAGTCAGCAGGGACAAAGATGGAGTGAGCTGTGAGTGGGACTCCACCAGCCAGCTGTGCTGACAGCCCTGGTTCAAACACTGCTCCCTGGCTTTGTGTACGCCCAGGATAGTCTCACAACTAAAACTGAGCCCAGCACATGCTGGCAGCCCAGTCTGTACAGATGGCCGCCTGCTGTGGGGGGGTGGGAGGGGGAGGGTGCAAGTGCATTTTCAAGAGAAAAGGGAGTTTGTTCTTCAGAGAGCAACTCTGAAGCCTGCCAGCTAATTCTGCGTTCCTTCCTTTGAGGGATTTCCGACCAAAATATGCAGGGACAGGTGAGGAAGACGGGGATGCACATGGAATTCTCCAGGAACTAAAGGCATATTTTGCTGACAAGTGTGAAGAAGCAGCTGGTGAGAAGGTGCGGTGAGATGGGACTGTGGGAAGGACAATGGGGCTGTGGGGGGGGGGGGGGGACTCACTAAGGTGAGGTCTCCTCATAAAAGTTGAGTTCCTGGTATCTGCCCAGCACAGGGGAGAGGAAGTTCCCCCAGGTAATTCTGATGACAGCAGATTTGAGATATACTTGACCAGATGGTCTTCTAAATCCCACCCATCCTCGACTCAGTTTTGACCCAATATAATTCTGCCTCTTCCACAGGCTGCACCTGTCCTGTAATGTCCCCTTCTCCACCTCAAGCTACTCATGTTTATTGCTCATCAAGCCGGTGTGAAGACCCAAGTTAAACTTCCTCCATATAGTAGCTCACTTAACCCTGGATCTGGCCCAAAGAAATAAGGACTCTGCAATTGTACTTACTGTACTGAACAGGAAACTGCCAGGTGAAGATTCAGATTTGGGTGAAGCATTTGGTGCAGCCCTGCCCCCAATTCACCCGCCCCCTGCCCCCAGGTGCAGATCTCAGCAGACTGCCCCCCCCCCTTTTTACCCGCTCCAGGACACTGTGTTCTGGTGACTTTACCCGCATGCTAACCAGTGGGCTGGGGCTCTTAGTAACCAGGGATGGGAGGCCATTAAAAAGACACGCAATGGGCATTATTAGAATGTCCTCCCAAGATTAACCTCACAGCTTGCGACAGGCCTATCCTGTCAGATAAACAATGCACACTAAAAGCAAAATGCTTAGGAACACTCAACTAGCTCATCCTACCCTGGGAGCCACATACTGACCAACCTGCGAATGTAACCAGAGGCGAAGGGAAATACTGAGCAGGAAGGGGACAGGGCAGCTGGCACTGTGCGGAATGCTGCAGCTGTTACAGAAAACCTGGGAGCCCCAGCAAACAGAAAATGAGGGTGATGTGAGAGAACCCAACACCAGGAAGAAGGGCGCACCTCTCCCTTGGGCAGGATTTTCTGTTCATCCAGCTTGAAGGCCGTCCCGATTCTTCTTCGAACAATGGGTGGTTCCTCCCCTGGGTCCAGGGGATATTCAACAGGCAGTTTACCTGTCAGCTCCTGCAAATGTGCAACAGCAGGAGGAGAGGCGGAATCAGGGGGCAGGTGCTTATTTCCAGGAGACAGACAGACACACACACACACACACACACACACACACACACACACAACACACTCTTCAAAGCACACATTCAAAATAGTACCTTTATTAAGCAAAATGCCTAAATGAATGTTAATAAGAGTTTTTAAAATGTGATTTCATTTCTCTAAAAATGGATGAGAGCAATCCTTTTTTACAGAACAGATGCACTTTGAAAAGTTCTTCCGAAAGTAACTGTCACATAAACAAAGTTGCTTTAGATTTCATCATAAACCTTGCATTTGATTCATTTGTTAGTTTCCCAAGTGTTTCCTGCATGCCCACTGTGTGCCAGGCGGGGCCACACACAACTCTGATCTTTCTGGCTCCCGTGCAGGGCCCCTGTACCCCATCCTCCCTCACTGATAGCTGAGATTAAAGTGTCTTCCACATAGTCTTTCTTAGGAAGAGTGGTGTCTATATGGAAAATCCCAGAAAAATGCATATGACAAATTAGAAACTAAATATAAGAATTATTCCACTCAGGCCAACACTCAGGGAACAGGCTGAGCTTAAAAGACATTAAATGTACACAAATAAGAGTTTCAGTACAAACTGAAAATAAACCCGTACTTTTGGCACATCTATTAAAGCGGATCTGTTGAGTGTATATTTTGGGGTCTGAAAATCTAATTGTTGTGAGTACGATGACAGTGAGCTTAGTTGACACATGGCCATAGTGACAATGACCCTGCAAACACTAGGTCAGTGGAATGAGCCCAGATTAGAATTGGGCTCCATATGAGGGGCTATGTCTGGGCTAAATAAAGATCAAATCTGAATCAGCAGCTAATCCATGTGGTGGAGCCAAGGTATCAGTTGTGAGGAGTCCCTTCCAGAGAAAGAAAGTCCTGGGAGAGCCACTGTGAGCTGCCAATGGCACAGGTGGCAAAGCCCAGCCCTGGTTTCTAGCCCCAAATCAATACCTGTGCTGCACAGACTCAAGGAAGAGTTCACAGTTCAGCTTCGTCATGAAAAGCTATTGTCTCAGGTGGCCCAGTGCTAGTGTCCCACAGGCGGGAAGCCTGGACCAGCAGATTCCAGATGCTGATCTACCTTCTAAGCCAGTGGTTCTCAACCTTCCTAATGCCGCGACCCTTTAATACAGTTCCTCATGTTGTGGTGACCCCCAATTTCATTGTTACAAATTGAACATAATTAAAGCATAGTGATTAATCACAAAAACAATATGTAATCATATATGTGTTTTCCGATGGTCTTAGGCGACCCCTGTGAAAGGGTCGTTTGACCCCCAAGGGGGGTCACGACCCACAGGTTGAGAACCGCTGTTCTAAGAGGAGTGGTCTGGCTTCTCCCACCGTTTTGTGTGTGTGTGTGTGTGTGTGTGTGTATGTGTGTGTGCGTGCTCACTGGGGTGTGGTGTGTGCACTGGGGTGTGCGTACAGACATGTGCAATGGTGCGTGCATGTGAATGCACCTGGAGTGCACCAGCACTCTGCACCTGAGAATGGGCCCTAGGCCTTTTTGTCCCGTGTAAGCATTCTAGAGGACAAAGGCAAACTGTCTGAGCGTGGAAGGCTCTGCAATCTTCCTTTCTGTTTCTTTCCTTTTTTTTATTGTGGTTCAAATGTTGCCAAAGTCCTATGTGTTTATTCTGTGACATGTTTATCTGATTCCCTCAAAGTCAGTTTATAAACAACATGCACACTGAGAATTCTATATTGTTAGGACTTTCCTTTTTTCACCTGAAACTTATAAAAGGAGGGGAAAGTGGTTAACATGGCAAGTCTAAAGTATCTGTGGTTTTAAAACAAAATACTATGTTTTAAAAAACGAGACTACTGATTTTCCACCATCTGCTTGACGGTCTTTAACTCAAGGCCTCGATTCTCCACATTTAATCCGATTTCACATGTAGCCAGAGCCACATGAGGAAGGAGGATTTCACACACTGTTGTGGGGCTTGGCTTGGTTCCTCTTAAATTCTCGTATTGGTATTTCTGCCAAATGCTTCTGCTCCACCCCATTCTGGCTGCCCCGCTATCTCCCCAGGGGACAAACTGCTCCCCGACATCCTGAGCGGAGGGACACAGTGTGTGGCACAGACAGAGGTACTTCTGCCCAAGATTACAGAGGCGTCCAGAGACCAGAATGGGAGACGTCACAAAGCAATCTGCCTGGGGCCAGAGAGGGTATCCCTTCTGCTCAAGCTGTTTTCTGCTGTCAACATTGTAAGAAGCGAAAGCTTTGTTTTCCTGATAATTGCTTTTAGTTTTAAGAGACACAGTGAGACCTTCTTTAACACATGCTAACTCTGCCCTGACATGTTTCTCCAATTGTCTGATGCTGACTCCCTGCTGGGTTTAGGGACATTGTCTCTATTAAAAACAAAACAAGTCTTTACAAATTATTAAATGCAGACGCCCAAAGCCATACTTCTTAAATTTTTAAAGCATATTCTTTATACAAAATGCTGGTGGCTGCTGCAAACCAGAGGAGGACATGCTGGTCATCACCAGAGAGCCACACCTTTCCGTGGGAGTCTTGGGACCTCAAGGAAAAGCTTGCTGGGGACCCCTCCCTCCCTCCCTCCCTCCCTCCCTCCCTTCCTCCGGGCATGTGCTTTCCTAAGATTTGCAGTGGGTTTGTGCTAATGTGGGTCTGGTTTGAGTTGGCTCCGATTTCAATCAATCCAGTACCTAATTAAGCCAAGTGGAAATGTAATGTGATTTCATTCTAAGCCCCTGGTTCATTTGGCCTGGGGCAAGGCACTATTACTGAGGGCAGGGGAATACAGTCTGGGAGCCTCTTTATACTTCCGATTCTCAACTGTTCACCAGTATCGCTCTGTGTAACATTATATGAACTACAATGGCTCCCTGGAGGGCTCCCGCCCTATCCTGTGCAGGTGCAAGCACATGCACACACATGTCCATGCACACACATGCACAGTAAGGTGTATGGCATTAAAAGTTCAATTCATCAAACATGCTAACAGAGAACTGCAGAATATACAAAAGAAGGTGGAAGTGGACATTCAAGTAATACAACAGTGGCCTGTCACAGCCTCTGAGTCCCAGTGAAACCTGAGACCAGTGCAAACAGGAGCTTGAGGAATGTTGCTATGCATAAAACTTAAAGATATCACTAGGCTAAGACTTCATTTTTTTAAAAAAAGAGTGTCACATCAGATGAGTTTTAAAGGGAATTATATATCAAGTGAAATCCTGTTTCTTTATTGATTCCCAGTGATGCTTTTCAGCATGATTTCCAAAGATATAGTATCTGAAACAGCCTCAAGGGAACAAAAGCCACAAGTCAACTCAGACACAAAGTCTTAGAAAATGGTGGCAAACCACTCCAGTCAAGGAGGTAATAACATACGAGAAAATGCTTTATAAACTAAGGGGCACCGGGCAAACATTATTATTTACAGGTGCTACCATGACTGGTCTCCAGTGAGGTCCCACTTGAGACTCAGCTTGCACTGGTACCCTGGTGTCCCAGGAACGTCACTTCTGTTTCTGATGGGGCACATGACAGGGGTTGGCTATTTCCAACGTTTGTGTGTCCGGAGCTCTTGTTTCCCTCCTATGATCTCTTTGTGACCCACTCCCCTGTGTAAGTCTGTGAAGGGGATGAGGGCTCAGACAATACAGACTTCCCCAGGCAGCAACGGTAACTGCTTACGGCTTCTCGGAGGCAGAGTTTCTTGAGCTCCTCCAGCCGCTGGCGCAGCGTTTCCTCCAGCGCTTCCTGCCGGGACTTCAAGGCAGCCAGCATGTCTTTCTTGGCGGACTGAGAGCTATCCGATTCCTGAGAACCTGTCAATAAACAGTGGGGTTACTAGGCCAGCTCAGTGGGGGACACACATCTGGACCACTAAGAAATTTAACTGGAGCCTACACTGTGGACCTGGGATTTGCCCCAGGAATCAAGAAAGTGTGAAATAAAACAGGTGTTGCAAGGTTCCAAGTGTGAGGAGAGAATTCTCAGCAAGTAGTGGACTTTACAGCTGACCAGAGGCACTGGCAGAAAAATTCACACGTCTGGAAAAGAAGTTTCACTTTCTTGATTATCTTAAGATATGTCAGATACCTGTTTTAACTTCACTAGTGATGTTTAATAGACTTTGTACAATGAAGGGGAAAGTAAAATTCAAGCCAGTAATTTTAATACATAGTTTAATTTTTTCTCCATTCAAAAATGCTGATGTTTTGCCTTGGCTGGTGTGCTCAGTGGTTAGAGCATCGGCCTGTGCATCAAAGGGTCCCAGGTTCGAATCTCCGTCAAGGGCACCGGGTTTCACAGGGTCACTGCCTCAGTCAGGGCACATGCTGGAGGCAACCAATCAATGTTTCTCTCGCTCTCCCCCCCTCTAAAAATTCAATGGAAAAAATATCCTCAGGCAAGGATTAACAAAACAGATGTGTGTGTGTGTGTGTGTGTGTGTGTGTGTGTGTATATATATATATATATATATATATATATATATATATATATTTGCTCAGTACAAAGAAAATGCATGTTTGACATTAACATTTTGGAAATGCAGACATGTATCAAAATAGTCCAGAAGCTAAGCTCCCAAAGATAACCACTGTCATACATTTTCTTTTAACCTGTTTATCTAAGCCATACATTTAAAAAATAAAATTAGATTTTTATTGTGTTTTTTAACTTAATACTATATCATGAGCAAATTCCCTCTTAAGAGCTACACATAGTTTTACAATGTGGCAGAACTATCTGAATGATGATTCAAATAGCAGACTGATAGATATGAAATCTTTGTGAAGGCACACTGTGAACCAAACTAGAGGAAAATAAGCTGACATGCCAACCAGAGAGATGTAGGTTAGAAGAAAGCACACTTTCTTGGCTGCAATGTTTGGATTCTGAAATTTCCTGCAGTGAAGCTATTATACCCTTTCACTTTGCTGGGGTAGGCACGGTGCACTGGCTACCTGGAAAAGGAAAGGCTGAGTATTACTTTGCTTCTCATGCCCATGGTGGGCAGAGTGTTAGACATGGACAGGTTATACTGAGTGTGCCTTCAAAAGCCTCACATGATGCCAGTTGCAACAGAATCAAACAACATCGAACACCTAGGGAGGAATCTAATGAAAAATATGCAAGATCTCTACAACGAAAATTTTTGCTGAAAAATAAATTACAGACCTAAAATAATAGAGAGACGTAGGTAGTTGTGGATTAGAAGCTTGACACCATAAAGATGTCAGTACTTCAGGAATTAACAGAATCATTGCAATACCAATAAAAATTCGAGCAGGACTTTTGGGAAAGGGGGGGTTAGCAACTGTATTTCCATGTAAAGCATTTTTGAACAATTCAGTGAATAACAGATATGAGAATAACCTATCAGAATTCCTAGTCAATTGGTCACTTTCTCCTAATGGTAAAGAAGACATCTCAGAGGGCTTCCAGTCAACATAGATGATGGAAATGCTGTGTTTGCCTCCTCCCACAATCACATCAAAATTAAAACAAAATTCAGAACCTACATGAAGAACCACCTGAAGACAAGATGAATAGAAATCCTATAACTAAACATATATAGAAGAAGCCACAAAGAGATTGGTAAAAGGGGTGGAAACGCAGAACAGGCAGGTCCCACACCCACTCGTGGCAATTAGGAATCGAAAGGGACATCGGCTGCAGAGGTCCTCTCTGAGGAGTGAGTGGCCCCAGGCTCCCTACTCCCTGCTCTGTGGGTGACAGGGGGTGGTGCCCCAACTTCCCCACCTACCCTGCCTTGAGTGTGACAGGGTGCAGCGCCCCAAACCCCCAATCGGCCCTGCTCTGTGCATGACAGGGGGGAGCTCCCCAACCCCCTGATCAGCCCTGCTCTGTGCGTGACAGGGGGTGGCACCGCAACCTTCCCATCGACCCTGCCTTGAGTGTGACAGGGGGCGGCGCACCAACCCCTCAATCGGCCCTACCCTGAGCATGTCTGAGGGTGGCATCACAACCTCCTGATCTGCCCTGCTTTGTGCATGACAGGGGGCGGTACCCCAACTCCTCAGTCAGCCCTGCTCTGAGCCCGATCAGGAACTGCAGGGCAGGCACCTAGGGATTGGGCCTGCCCTCTGCCACCTGGGAGTGGGCCTAAGCCAGCAGGTTGTTATCTCCCGAGGGGTCCCAGACTGTGAGAGGACACAAGTGGGGCTGAGGGATACCCGCCCCCCTCGCCGCCAATGCACAAATTTTTGTGCACCGGGCCTCTGGTAACATAATAAAGGGCATATATGACAAACCCACAGCTAATATCATACTCGGTAATGAAAAGGTGAAGGATTTTTCTTTAAGATCTTGAACAAGACAAAGATATCTACCCTTCACCGTTTTGTTGAACATAGTATTGGAAATCCTAGCCACAGCAATCAGACAAGAAAAAGAAATAAAAGGAATCCAAATTGGAAAGAAGTAAAACTGTCATTTGCAGATGCTATGATACTATACAGAGAGAACCCTAAAGATTCCACTAAAAGACCATTAGAACTGATAAATGAATTCAGCAAGGTAGAATACATAGTTAATATTCAGAAATTGGTTGTCTTTTTATACTCCAATAATGAACTATCAGAAAGAGAAATTAAGAAAACAATGCCATTTATAATTGCATCAAAATAAAATAAAATGCCTAGGAATAAATTTAACAAGGAGGTAAAAGACCTGTCCTCATAAAATTATAAGACATTGAAGAAGAAAATAAGAAGAACCAAATGAATGTAATCATATATTATGATCATGGATAGAAAGAATTAACATTGTTTAAATGTCCATACTACCCAAAGCAATTTATAGATTCAATGCAATTCCTACCAAAATATCAATGTTTCTCACAGAACTAGAACAAATATTCCTAAAATTTACATGGAGCCACAAAAGACCCTGAATAGGCATAGCAATCTTGAGAAAGAACAACAAAGTTGGAGGAATTATGCTACCTGATATTAAGTTATAGTACAAGGCTATAGTAATCAAAACAGTATGGTACTGGCATAAAAACAGACACATAAGTCAATGAAACAGAATATGAAGCTCAGAAATAAATCCACAGCCATATGGTCAGTTAATCCATGGCAAAGGAGGAAAGAATATACAATGGGATAAAGATAGTGTCTCCAATAAATAGTTTTGGGAAAAATGGACAGATACATGCAAAAAAAAAATAGACCACTTTTTTACACCATATACAAAAATAAATTCAAAATTGATTAAAAACAAATGTAAGACGTGAAACCATAAAACTCCTAGAACCAAACATAGGTAGTAGAAGTTAGATATTGTTCTTGGTAATTTTTTTTTCCAATATGTCTCATTAGGCAAAGGAAAAATAAACAAGTGGGACTCCATTTAACTAAAGAGTTTTTGCACAGCAAAGGTAACATTAATAAAACAAAAAGACAGCCTACTGAATGGAAGAAGGTTTTCATCAATGATAAGGGATTAATATTGAAAATATACATACAACTCAACACGAAGAAAACAATCAGTATCAGTCTATTTTGACTCCATTTTGGGCTTTTTTCTCCCTCACCCCATTCTAGTGTGAAATAGAGAAAATATGTAACTGCAGGAGAGTATCATCTTTATGCCTCCACAGTGGCTCGTAAGTATTAACTGGAATAAACAAACAAACAAATGTTGTCAGTCACACTTGGATGCTCTAGTCAAGTTGTACCTCATGTTGGTAAAGAAATCTAGTACCTGTAAGTCGTTTCTTTATAGTGCCTACCTTCCAAACCTTTAATCATTTTGGTACCTCTTCTTTGGATTTTGTCATGCTTCAATCACAGGTTTCCAAACTCAACAGCAATCCTGAACAAAAGTGTGCCTCTTAGGAAGTCTCCATTACCTCATGGTTCTTAGACACTAAATCCACATGGTGTTATGTTCATGCAACACACAGCCAGACAGGGCTCCCCTTTTTGAATGGTTCAGTTCAAGTGCTCTCCTTCCTTAAGTCTATGACCCCGTGCTATCAGTACTATCTCCAAGTTTATATCCATCCAATATCACATACTAAGTCACTTTGAATCTTCTCTGGTTCTCGTTGTCATAGTCACCAATTACATTTGAGAACACAGGAACTACTTATGAGGTATGCTCTGTTCTATCATCTGAAGAATTAATAAGAATGTAAAATAATACTGGAAGGAAGTCATACTTTGGACTGAAAAAACAGGCCTGGGGACACTTGGGTCCAAGAAAGATGAAAGGATCTCTAGCTCACGTGAAAACTTCATTGTTTTCCCCTTTCACCCCTGCCTAGCCTCTCCATAGGAAATGATGCTGGATGCAGTCAAATATAAGAATTAATCTGTTCAAGGATGGCAAAAGTCACACAACATTAAACTCTGGGAGGTAAAGCACAATGTTTTTAGATCATTCTGTCTCTAGTTGTGGGATTAGTTAAGCTTTGGTCTTGAGTTATAGGGCTCATTAGCACTACCTAAATTATTTTATTCATAATAATTAACCTAAATAGCCAACCCACATAAGACAGACTAGATGGCTCAAGAGGCCCTCTTCATGTCTGGCACCACTAAGTCTAGCTCTTTTACTCCTTTATTCTGGATATTGCTTCACGAGAAATGTGGTGCAGAGCACCAAGTTAAATCTCTGCAAACTCAGCCAGCCTGGCCTGGCCATGTGGATTTCCATTTTAGCCATAAGGATACCTGAGTGGAGGGTCAGACAGTTCTGAGTTTGATGAACTCTAAACCACTTACTAGATGTGTGACCTTGGGATACTGACCTGCCCTCCTTAATCTGTTGTAAAGACTAAGTGAAATAA